AAAAAAAAAAAAAAAAAAAAAACAACAAAGAAAAAACCATCGACTCTTATGCCTGGGTGTTCAAGAATTTTAGAAATGCCATGATTCACGATCCCGAATGCATGGTCACTGACCAAGATCCCTCAATCGGCATTGCATTTCCTAAGGTATTCGAAACTTGCAAACACTGATTCTATATGTGGCACATAATAACTGAAATGTGCGACATGGTTGGTCATTATTTAAATAATGATGTTGAGTTTAAATGAAGGCTTAATTGGATTGTTTGGGATCAAACTATAGAGTCTGATGAACTTGAAGCTAAATGGACAACACTAATGAAAGACTATATGTTGGATACACATTATTGGTTTATTGATCTATTTGCAAAAAAAGGAATATTGGATTCCAGCCTTTTTCGGAAATGTCAGAATGAGCGGGTTAACTTAGGACTACATCTAGATCGAAAAGCGAGAACCATTGGTTTGGTCATTTCACAAGTAGACATTCTAACTTAGTCGAGTTCTTACTACACTTTGGCAGTGTAATTGACGCACAACAAAATGCATCGATTAAGCTACAAAATGAGAGTGAACCACAAATGGTTGAACTGAAGATGCCTTTGCCCATTGAAAAACACACAATGTCTGTCTACGCAACATCTTCTTTCTACTGTGTGCAGGATAAGATGTGTGCAACATGTTTCAATTGTCGTGTAATGAACTTATATGACAGTGATGGGCTTATGAAATTCACAATCAAAGACACAGATGGTAAGACGTTCACAGTTATTCATGATGTTTTAACTACGTCTACATGTTCATGCAAGCACTTAAAATTGTACAGATGGTTGTGTTGACACATGTTTGTTGTGCTCAAGAACCTGAACTTCAAATTTATTCAATCGCCACATATCATATTGAGATGGACAAGGCAAGCTATTATTAATACAATGTTCAATATTCTTGACGATGTTGTTGCACAATGTGCCCAAATTGATGATACAAAGCACATGTTGAACAAATTGCGGTCGGCTATACATATATGCATGGGATTAACTGAGCCTCTTGTTGATCATCTTATTGAATTATCCAAGATCATCGAAGCATACAAGAGTAAGTTGATGTCAGCTCAAAAAGAGGATACAATGTTCATTAGAAAAAAAAAAACACTAGTTCGTTTGTCGGCATGGCTGCTCCTCAAGAAATAAGCATTCACCCTCCAACACGTTCCAAAAACAGAGGTAATAGGAAAAGACTAACAAGTGTAAAGAAAAAGGCAATTGAAGGATCACAAAAGAAACGAAGGACTTGCAAGACGTGCGATGAAATGGCAGGACATAATACACGCACATGCCCTAAGAAACATCAAGCGTACAAATCAAAAGAAAATGAGGTAAATGCACACATCTCGTTGAAGTAATTGTTTGATCATTATGGAAATTAATGTTTCATGATTTAAAGCTTTTCATATTGCATACCAACATAGAAGCAGTTATACTCACACACATACAAAATCATGTTTACTTCACATTACTTATTCACTGTATATACGAATTCATACGTTAGTATAATGCTTATCAAATGTGAGATGTGCAAGCACAAGTGATAAGAGCTTGATGGAAATTTTTTCGGAGCAAATGCTACAATTGGACATTTGTTTTTTTTTTTTCCTGAACAATGAGCATGTTTGTTTATGAAAGTTTCTGGTTTTGTTTGGATATTTTTGTTTGGTTTAGTTAATTTTGAAAAAATGTGGTATGGTTAGTTGTTAGTGGATATATTAAAATAATATTTAAAACAAAATAATTAAAACTGATTTGATGTAAAAGTAAGAGAGAGATGATTTGAAGTGATGGTTAGATAAAATAATGTGAGTGAATGAATAGTGAATTAAAGTTAATGTGGTGTGTATGAATGATTGATTGATATTATTTAATTATATTAATAATATTGATGATAGTGGGGTTGAGTTAAAATTGAGTTAAAAAAACTGATTGAGTTAAAATGTTGAAATTTTTTTTGAAATTTTTCATAAACAAACATGCTAATAGGCATTTGCTTGTTTGGTTGATGAATATCGTCGTACGTGACACTATTGAGCATTACTGTTAATTTTATGACAAACATTATAATGAGTCATTTTTATTTTTCTTTTTTGTATTGTTGTTGGTTGATGATCATTGTCGCGTGTCAATTGTATAGCCATTAGGTGTGCATAGCGTTCACACCTACAAATGCACAAGCCCGTCAGCTCTATACAGAGTGTATTTGTCTTGCGGTAAGAGATTCTCGCCTCGGCTTTAATCTTTTCCTTTAATGTTGTACTTTGTTTTTTTAGTTTTTAGTTCATAAGAAGTGAACACTTTAGTTCGTACGATTCCTGTGTAATAAGCACTTAGTTTGTAACATCCATGAGTGTGTAGCTTAAGTTCGAGCTCCCAAGAGCTTGAGTGCTACCATGAGTGTGTAGCTTAAATCTGAGCTCTCCAGAGCTTGGGTTCTACCATGAGTTTGTAGCTTAAGTCTGAGCTCCGAAGAGCTCTGGTTCTACCACGAGTTTGTAGCTTAAATCTGAACTCTCCAGAGCTTGGGTTCTACCATGTGTTTGCAGCTTAAGTCTGAGCTCCAAAGAGCTCTGGTTCTACCACAAGTTTGTAGCTTAAGTTCGAGCTCCCATTAGCTCAAGTGCTACCATGATTTTATAGCTTAATTAAGCCTGAGCTCCCAAGAGTTCGGGTTCTACCATGCATGAATATATAGCTTTAGTCTGAGCTCCCAAGGGCTCGTGTACTACCATGAAATTATAGCTTAATTTATTTTTATTTTTTTTTTCAAATAACTGATTGTAATAATAAGCAAATTACTCATACATTACATTAAATTATTGCATTAAAGCACTTACTGAATAGGAAGTAGCTAATAAAGAACAAACAATGGAAATATATTTGCATATACACCTCAAAATTAATCCAACTACTAGATTGTGATATGTATTCCAATCAACCAATTAAGGAATCTCTTAAACATCCAATGATATGCCAATTTTTATAAGAGAAATGCTATAAGTACATAATACTGTACATAGGGGTGTACATAACACTCACATTAAGTGAGATACACCAAATATAAAAAATCAAGTGGACCCCACTCCATGTGAGTGTTATGTACACCTTTATGTACATTTATTATGTATTTGTAGCATTTTTCTTTTTACAATGACATATAGAATCCTACACAGAAATTAAGACAGACACAGAGACCTTTTTGTCATGGAGATTAATAAGTGTTTGGATACACTTTCTTGAAAAGGTTGGGGAAACAACCAGCAGAAGCACTATCAATATCACAAACTTCTGCTTCCTTACATTTGCTATCGGCCGACTTTTCTTTTCCTGAATATTTCAGCTTATTACTACTATTCTCTGCTTTCTTCAGCTTCTCCTTTGCTAGCTTCCTCATATAATAGGCTTCTGCCAGATCAACACCCGGCATCGACATTGACATGGGATTAATTAGTAATTGGATCAAAAAATTAGCACAAGGACAGGGAAAGGAATATATAAAGAATTTTGAATGAATAAGATGAAAAGGAAAAATATGGGAGTTTTGAGACAATCTTTAGAATATTAATTATGAAATCTTTAGAATGTTGAGCTGTGAGCTTATGCAAATTAATGTGAGTATTTGTACTTGTTTTGTGCTTGGGCAGCAAGCTATGATGGTCCTATTTTCTTGGAAGCTGCCAAGTGTGGAAAGTATATATTCGTAAGAGTCAGCTTGACTAAATTTCGAAGAGTCAAAATATATGTCTTTGAAAATCGGGGAAATAATAATATAATATTAATAGATTTGCACCATAACTATTTGATTTTCAAGTGGTCGTTTGGGCCGTTTTCGGGTACAAATAAACAAATTTTTTACTGGTTTTTTTTATTTAATCTTAATTAAGTTAAAAAAACGATGGTTTGGTTAATTTTTAGGGGATATTAAAATAATATTTAAATAAAACAATTAAAAATAATTTGATGTAAAAATAAGAGATAAATAATTGAAAGTGATAGATAATTAAAATTAAGGTTGGTATCGGTTTGGTAACCGATATTTTTGGTAACACTAAAATGTGAAACTGAAATCAAACAGACTAGTAGTCGATAATCGAAAACTCGATTACCGAAAACACGGTTCGTTTTCAATTTTGTACCCAAAAAATCGAAAAATCCTATTTGTGGTGCACGAATGTAAGTAGTGGTTATGATCGATTTAAAAAATTCATCATTTTGATCAGAATCAGATGCCCAATAGAATAGATGTCCTTTATTCATTGCTTATAAAGGAAAAGGTCCAAAATTCAAGATCCGTGAAATGATCATATGATATCATCCAATCATCCACCAATATTTTCAAAACACGCAAAGAAAGAAAAAACAACAACAAAATAGTAATCTATATCTATATCTATATATATATAAAGAGGTTGTTGGAAAAATACATTAACAGAAAATTTGACCAAATAAATATAATGTTTGACTTACTATTAATGGAAAGTTCAAAAAAGCAGTAACAAAATCTAAATCTTATTTTTTTAGTAACAAATTTTGAGATTTTTATGGCAAATTTTAATCCCATTTTTTTCGTAGCATATTTTTTTTACCAAAATTTAAATCATATCTTTTTTGGTAACAAATTTGGAGATTCTTACGCAAAATATGTCAATTATTTATGAAAATAATTCTAAATACAAGTTAATTTAAAAACCGTGCAAATTGGATACAAATTTAGGAAGTAAATAGTTGTATAATTCTTAACTAATTCTTCCAATCTTATTGAATAATTTTTTCTTTAAAAAAAATTGTGTAAATTGGATAAAGCCACGTGCAATTTTTATTTTAAAATAAAACTAATATTTGGATGGGATGTACATTCAAAATTGTGTCCACATTTTTTTGTAACAAAAGCAGTTCATCATTGATATTTAAAGTCACTTTATCCAATTATTTAGGAAAAATTGTATGCAACTTTTCAAAATTTAAATGCATCGATTTTTTTGGATTCTTATGTTTTTTCTTAACCATGTTTTACCGAGATTTTGGTAAGTTCATATCATTTTTTTTTTTGGTTAAGTTCATATCATTTTCTTTAGGAAATAAAAAGTTGCATAAACATTAACAATTTATTTCAATTTTTTATTAAAATTATCTTCAATTCATATTGTTTGGTACAAAAATCGGTGCAATGTTAGGAAAATTCGGCTGCATTTTTAGGAAGAATTGATGATTCTTTTATTTGGTTTAAAAAAAATATTCGGATCAATTGTTTGATAGAAAAATCAGTTTATTGGTAGGAAAATCGGTTTCATTTCCAGGAGTAACTAATGATTCTTTTCAAATTTTCTTAATTGAAATTTAGAATTAGATTTAAAATAAATAATGGGTGAAAATCCTAAAAAATTCTACTTTTGTTTCTACTTTAATTTTGTTTAATAAATAAGATCCTTTAATTCTTTTAATATTTATTAAATAATAACTAACTATATGCAATTTTGGATAAATTCGAACACCTATGTAGTACTTTACCTGCCAAAGAATCAAATCAATCAGGTTGTAAATAAGGAAGTGTTTAATAACATATAAATTTCTTTTTCATGAAATTTTTAATGGTATGAGACAATTTAAATACAAAAATACCTTTTAAAAAATAAATAGGTAATAAATGCTCCCGTGCATCGCACGGGTACCATACTAGTAAGGAAAGAAAGAAGCAGCATATATACATGGTTTTTATTTTTAAAATAAAATAATATTTTAAAAACAAAAAAAGATTATATTGACTGAGTCAAATGAGTTGATCCGATTGGGTCAATGTCGGGTTAATCAGGTTTTGACCGGGTTTGACTGAGCCCATTGTTGTCCGATCCAAACCATCCACCTGAATCGGTTCAGCTCCGAGTTGAAAAACAACGGGAAAAACGGTCGAATTGTGAAATTATTTTCATTCTCCATGTCTCAACCTTTTTTGTTTCTTTTTTCTTTTTTCTTTTGGAGCGAAGCTATCCACATATTTGATGGAAAAATGCATAAAATGAACAAAGAATAATAAAGTCGAAAATAAGCTGAAAGATCAATATTGATTCACCGAAAACTCCAACGGATTCTACTTCATATTTCTGTTCCTTCACGTCTTTGATGATCACGATTCATCCTTGAGGACCTTGACTTTCCGTATACAACCCTCAATCCAAATAAATAAATCTTTAAAAAAACCTCTGAAACCAGCTGCTGCTTGACTGAAGATGAGCAATTTGAGGGCGGTGTGTAGGCCCCACGCCGTGTTCTCTTCCATGGCGTGCTTTTACAGATCCATGGCCAGCGTTTCGTCGTTCCAACACCATTGCTGTAGCTTGAGACCTCCGCTGTCTTCACAGTCGTCCTCAATTTTCGCTGTGTGGTTCGATCGATTGGGAGAGGAGAGAAAGCACGAACCGCGAGTGAGGCCAAATCGCCAAAGGAGAATGGTGGCCACCAAGGCTTCCAACTGGATGGACTCCAGATCGCCTTACGAAACTCTGGGTATGCGTTTTACCAGTTATATTTATGTCGAGGAAACTGACGACGGGTCTGTTTAGCTGACACCAGAATTCGGACTTCACTTGCTGAACATTTAATAGCTATCATATTTTAATTTTATAATTTTGGATAAGTGAGGTGAATTAGAGGAGCCTGTCATTTGGGGGCAAACTGAGACTCTAATAGTGTAGCAATCGAAGAATAATTTGCTTAAACTTGAATTCGAAGGACTTGTTTACTTTAATAAGTATGTAAAAGCAAGAGGGACATTTTGGAATTTCATTTCTTTTGCTCGCTCGTGTTCTTGTGTAATGGCTACCTAATCGTAGATGTTTTTTATTCCTTTTTGTCATTTCATGATTCTCTGTCATGTTTCCTTTTTGGGTAGCATAACTGTAGATTTTTTAATTATGCTTATATGCCCTTATGCTGCTGGATTTGTTTTTACTTACTATAGTTATTCAACCTCCCAAGCATATCTGACACTGGTGCTCTCTGGTAATTTCACTTGCAGAACTGGAAAGGGATGCAGAAGATGAGGAAATTAAGGTAGCCTACAGGCGCTTGGCTAAGTTCTATCATCCTGATGGTTTGTCCTTACTTTCTGGTTTTTATTTCTAAGTCTTCTTCTTTGTATGTATCGTTTACTAATTGAATATATGTACATAGCATGAGGTTTACCTGCTTTTTCCTAAACTCAAGTAATTTCACTGGCCCTACTTGGATTATCTATTCAATAAGTTAATCATGTCAAGAAAAAAAAAAAAGAATTGTTTTGTGTCTATATAGCCTCAGTTGCTTCAATTGTGACTTCAATCAGACGAACCACGAGCGTATTCGTAATTTCTAGGAAACGGGAATTTCTAGGAGGATTAATACATATTCCATATATGATGACCGATGATTTTGTTTGAATATTGATCTAGAGCTAGTGGTTGGTCTCAAAAGAAAAGGTCCTCTTCTAATACCATGTCCAGTTTATGTTGTTGTCCTGTCACAATTGTTGGCTGTTGTTGACTTAATATAATAGTCTATCTTTATTTTTTATTTTTTAAAACAAAACTTGGGTTATTCTCTTTCCCGTGTAATTGGCCAAGTTTTCTTGTTTTATTTCAACTATGTACCATTTTGTTGTTCACTATAGAAAAGAACACAGTAGATANCTTTTTGTGATTTATTATGTAATGTGAAATGTCAGTAGCATTTCAGTTCGCCGCAATTGACATGTTTTTCCCGACCATGTACCATTTTGGTTTTGTTATAAATTTTGAAAAATCAAGAACATTACAGAACATCGCATCTTGCTTCAACTATGTTTTGGGGCATCATACTACTTAATTTTCTACATATAAAATTCCTGAATATGAATTTCATCTTATGGTTATGTACTCCACGAATCATCACATGAAGAGTTCTACTACATTGTGAAGTGTTTGCATGTTTTTTATGACAAAAAGGCTCACAAACATACAATCTTTTGGATAAATTTAACTCAGAGCTGAAAGGTTTCATTTGTGAAATATCTTTGTGTGATTGAAAGGAAGAAAACAAGTTGTTGAATTTAGTTCCTAATTTGACTTCCTCACAGTCCCTAGGTGTTTACATAATCTAGTAATTATGATTCAATCTTACTTTTGTATTAGGTAGTTGAAGTATGTCGAACCTAAGGTAAATCCGAGGATTTTGATAAACCCATCTACAAACTTTCACGTGGATTTTATCAGCACCACAAAATGCATGGCATGTACTGCGGATTGATGTTCTTCTTGCTTCAAGTATCTCTCCCTCTAATGGATACTACTAGAGTATCCACCAATTGATACTCCTTAAACCTCAGCATGTTGTGATTCTCCAAGAATTAGATAGCTAACTAGCTAAGCTAGCTAGATAGATAGAATAGGACTAGAGAAACCAAGAGAGCATGGATCAAGATAAAATAGAACTAGAGAAACAACAAGAGCATGAATCGTGTATTCTCGTGGGTGCTATTCTTCTTGGTACCAATCATTTCCCCTATAAGATATCTCAATACCAATTTGGTGTTATCCAGTTAGAGTCTATGCAATCTAAAGATACATCCCTATCGATTACGATACCTAACGATATGATGCTGTCTATGAGATTCGTCAATAGCACTTACCGTGTATATGGATGTTAATTGACAACAGTGCTGACTGCTGAACATTCAGCTCCTCGATGAATTAGAAATCTAGCAGACAGAATTGCATTGGTCTAATTTTAGGCCTTAGGATAAGAAGATAAGAATTTGACTTGTAGCAACCTTACAAATACATTAAGATAAATAATGTGAAAAGGCACTTCGATTTATTTATGACCTATGACCTATGAGAAGCCATATCGGGTGAAAATCTCGTGTACAGTTCTGTTCCCGGTCGAAATTGAGTTATGTTATTTAATGAATAATGTGACGAATTATTTACAGTTTACGATGGGAGAGGGACCTTAGATGAAGGTGAAACTGCTGAAACTCGATTTATAAAGATTCAGGCTGCATATGAGCTTCTTATCGATGAGGAGAAGCGGAGGCAATACGACAGTGACAATCGTGTGAACCCAATGAAGGTGACATTTGTTTCAATCATATTAGTTGATATAACCTTGTGCATACTCAAATTCTGAATTCAAGATAGTTCTTAGTACTGCTAAATTCCTTTGATTCTGTATCCTGGGAGGTCTCTTTAGCTATGCTCGTATAATTATAATATACTTGTTTAGAAGATAATGAATTGTGCATTTGTTCCCATGAATAGTCATGCTGCTTTTAAAGACTATTTTGTAGCAGTTGCTGTCATGTGACAGTCTCATAGCGAGAAATGATATTCTTAACATGTTTTAGGCTATATTTGATGACCGTCCAAATAATAGTACTTCTACTTATACTTTATAAATATAATATCATTTTTTGATTATGAAAATATTACCATGTCATTGTGAGTTGGTTTCGCAAGTTTCTAGTGATACGTCAAAAGGTGAAGAGCTTATGTTTGATATTTGTTTATAATTTAGAAAATCAGAGGTTGGTACTATGTGGTAATAATATCCAGTAAGGAAAGAATAAGGTGAAGAGCTTATGTTTACATTTGTTTATAATCTAGGCAATCAGAGGTTAGTACTCTGGTAATAACATCCAGTTAAGTAAGAATAATAATACTGCTAGGTGTGGAGCTAGCTATTAAATTTATTGGGACGATGTAAAAATTAACTAAACAACAATAATAAAATATTGAAATTGAGAAAAATTACTAAATGTCCGAATATTGTTCTTTTCGTGTCTTCATGATTTGGAATATTTTTACAATAAATTAATTATTTATCTTTTTCTACTAAATGAACTGATCCGAAGTTGTACAATATCGAATTCTTCAACTCTGTCACTTTATGGAGATCATCTATTATGGGTTTTATTTTTGCAAAATATATCTATTGTTGATATCCATATATCCAAAACATTTTCAGTCCTTAGTAAAATTATGGTCAATTAATTTTTTTTTATAATAATACTTAAAGCTAAAAGTTGAATCAAAACCACAAAGTAGAAGATTCATCTTTCAGTCACACAAATCGATAGGGCCTTTGAATACTATTTTAAAAATAAACTTATAAACATAAATCACGCATTTGCATAAGTAGGAGAAGCAAATTTGTTGAGTGTGGGCACATATTGGCTCCTCCCATGACTCATGAGTACTGCAGACTATTATAACTAGTGATACTCCGTGTTAATTGTAGCTAATATTACGCTAGTTAAATACACCAGCACACATGAAATTTTTCATAATACATCCATCTACACTACATATTTTGAAGCATTGAGTTAGATCTAACTGTGAGAGACCTCATTTTATTGTGAATGAGTGAAGCCTGCTTTTTGCAAATGTAAATGAGTCAAGTTCCCTGGTGACTCGTGTACTTTTTGTTTTTCTATTTATTTTTTTTCATCTCTAAGGCACTTACAAACTAACCTTCATCAGGCTTCTCAAGCATGGATGGAGTGGCTTATGAAGAAAAGGAAAGCATTTGACCAGAGAGGTGACATGGCAATTGCAGCTTGGGCCGAACAACAGCAGCGTGAATTGAACCTCCGAGCACGCCGCCTTGCTCGCTCAAAGGTAGCATGTTTGTTTATTTTCTTTATTTTTTCTTCTCTTAAGAAAAATATTTTGAGAAAGCTGAAGAAAAGAATAAATCACATTTTCTTGATTTTGCCTATATCATTTAAAAGAGTGTTGGCTTTGAAACTCATATTTTTGTTTACAAGTTGGTAAATGGTTGTACTGCGCTGTTTTATGTTTTGTTTTTTGTTTTTTTTTTAACTTAAAATTCAGATTGATCCCGAAGAAGAAAGGAAGATACTGGTGAAAGAGAAAAAGGCATCTGTGGAGAACTTCAACAACACTTTGAGGAGGCACACGCTTGTCCTTAGAAAAAGAGATCTAATGCGTAAAAAAGCCGATGAAGATAAGAAAAAGCTCATCGGCCAGCTTTTAGAGGCAGAGGGCCTTGAACTTGCAAATGATGAAGATGAAAAGTAAATGATAGCCTCTTGCTTTTTAATACGTAGGTGCGTACTGGTTTGTTGTAACTTATAGTGATATATAAGTGCTTACCAAATGGGGTTGTATATTATACCGTTTATACGTAATAGAAATTATTCCGCAACTTGGAGCAAAATAATGTTAAGTAAAGAATTTGGGGATGTTAAGGTTGGATGTTTCGAACTTGGAAGTGCATTGAATTACATAGATATCAACACTTATTATCCTGTTTTTGTTGGTGTGGAGATGTATTCTATTATTAGGAGTTAACCTATTAATGAAATATTGGCACAAAGTTTTTTCTTTTTCTCCCTCTTTCTCGAAAGACTATAAAAAGAAACAAGGGAGAAAGATCATATGATTCGGATAAATTTCCCAAATTGCTGTTGAAGTATAAATTGAAACAGGTAAGGACCAACCTACATTGGGTCGTTCTCAAATTGTTTAGAGCTAGTTTTACAATTTAGTCGCAAAAGAAAAAAAATAATAATAATAAATCTTAAACATTCCAAATGCAGTTTTTGGGGTTCAATTTGATCCAATTTAACTATGGGAAATAAAAAGAAAATTAGCTGAAAACGCAACTTAACAATCACCGAGTCTCCAAAACATGAAAAGAAGAAGTAAAAACAAGCATACAAATTTCAATGATTGCTCTTTAACCAAAATCACAATTAAGACCTGCAGTAATGCTAAACATGTGCTTATCTCCTAAAATAACTTGGACTAGCTAATTCAACTGGACTTTAATTAACTCAAGGCATTCGAACTCGACATTCAACTCAAAACACCAAATTTTTCAAGTGCTCTTTCTTATAATGACTTTATTTGTTTAAAATAAAATAAAATTAATTTAGAGAATGAAAGTTTGTACACCAAAATTTTCGAAGTGCTCTTTCTTATATTGACTTTATAATATATGTTTATTTGGAAATTATGTTTCATGCCCAATTAAATATTATAATTGAATGTATTAGTTCAATTGGAAGAGTAGATGTGATTGAAGGTGAAATCGGAGGAATTGGTGAGCGCAGATTATGAAGGACCTCTGTTTTCATGTTGACAATAAGCAAACCGTTTGAAGGAGAATATCAAATTACTAATGGTTATGGTCCACTTCGCACACCTCAAGTTATGAAGGTAACTTTTACCCATAATTCTTGTGAATAAAATGGCTGTCATTTGTCTTCTTTTATTATTGTCGTTTTACTACAATAATTCAAAGTTTGGTGGACATTAGAATTAAAAAATACTTCACATGGCGCCATTTGTCTTCTTTTATTATTGTAGTTTTACGACAATAATTCAATAGTTTGGGGGACATTAGAATTAATATATGATGATGATTTTTCTTGTTTATGGATTGCAAAAGATTCCACTTCTAGGAAACCACCACCACCATAATTAAAAAATATATATATATATATATAATGACAAAATGAAACTTTATTTTTCTAAGTTAATATCAAGTCTCATTTAATTAAATATTAATGAAGATTAGGAAGAGGTCCATGACTTTCTTTGTCGACTTTTTTTCGCTGCCACACTGGTTATATATTTGTATATCATACTATACAAAACTCACTTGAGATATCAACTTAAAAGGCTGAGATTAACCTCATTCATCAACCAATCAATAGTATCATACACACTAGCTATGAAATTATTATTTCGTTTTTGCATTCTTGTTCTTGTTCTCTACATTAATGCTGCAAAGGCAGGCAATATTAAAGCAGTTAATCTCGGAGGCTGGCTTGTTACAGAAGGTTGGATCAAACCATCCCTTTTTGATGGCATTCCGAACAAAGACTTATTGGTACTAACTTACTTATATTAATCTTTNNNNTGTTTACTCAATCAATCACATTTTCAAAACATCAGAATAGTATAATTGCTCTTATATAATGCTCTTATAACACGCTTTCTAAATATAGAAATTTGTTCTTAGTTTGTGAGTTATTTTAAATTTTTAATCGATCTAAGTGATTCTAATTATTGTCATGTGAAAAAACAAGGATGGAACAAATCTACAGCTGAAATCAGTTACAGTGGGAAAATATCTATGCGCGGAGAATGGAGGAGGTAGCATTATAGTTGCAAACCGAACTTCTGCCTCTGCTTGGGAAACATTCACAGTACGTTCTTACTATCACCATCATAATAATAATAAGTATTATACACGAATTTAAATTCACTTATTAATCTTTTTCTTTTTTTCTTGAATAAATAATTAAGTTATGGAGAATAAACGCAACGACATTCAACTTTAGAGTTTTCAACAAGCAATTCGTGGGATTGAAGAGTAAAGACAACTCAAATGTGGTAGTTGCTAATGGCTTTGCTGTGGAGCCCTTTGAAATTCACAGGGATCCTCGAAATTCAAGCCGCGTTCGGATTAAAGCCTCCAATGGCTTTTTCTTCCAGGTTAATTCCCATATATTATTGTTACACCGTCTACTACTTACTCCGTTGATATTTGTTGATTAACAAATTTGTATTTAAGAAATTAAATATATATATATATATATTTTTTTTTTTTGAAATTTTAAATTATTAGTAAAAAAAATTCATTATTATTTTTATTTTTAAATTGGCACTTAAAATTGAATGAATTAGTTCAACTGGAAGAGTAGATGTGATTGCAGGTGAAATCGGAAGAATTGGTGAGCGCAGATTATGAAGGAGAAGGTGAATGGAGGGACGACAACCCCTCTGTTTTCCTGTTGACAATAAGCAAACAATTTCAAGGAGAATATCAAATTACTAATGGTTATGGTCCAGTCCGCGCACCTCAAGTTATGAAGGTAACTTTTATCCATATTTCTTGTGAATAAAATAGCATCATTTATCTTCATTTTATTATTGTTGTTTTACACTACGTAACTATAATCATTGCAATTTTATGTTATATTCATTCACAATCTTCAAAACATCTCATGTATCTATTTTATTTTTATTTTTCACTTTTTCATCTATGTTTCAACTAAAACGAATTAAGAAAATTTTCAGGGAAAATTTCAAAATTAATCCCACAAGTATAGGGGTGACAATTTTGGTCCCGACGGAATACAGAAAATATGAATAGTCCTACATCTTTTAAGAAATGATCAAAAGTAAGACTTTTTCGCCGGATTTACTGTTTCCGGCCCGGAACGCCACGTGGCATCCGACGTGTTCATATTTTTTTACAAGTTAAATGTCACCCCTCTATACTTATGGGACTAGTTTTGAATTTTTTCCTATTTACGTCGGATGCCAGCGTGTAAAAAATAAGCCACGTGTGCGCCACGTGGCACTCCGGGCCGGAAATAGTAAATCCGGCGAAAAAGTCCTACTTTTGATCATTTTTTAAAAGCTGTGGGACTATTCATATTTTGTGCATTCCGTCGGGACCAAAATTGTCACCCCCTATATCTGTGGGACTAATTTTGAAATTTTCCCGAAAATTTCATATCAAAGCACAATATAATGAACTTTGACTCGAATGTATAAAATTGACAGGAACATTGGAACACATATATTGTGGAAGAGGATTTCAAGTTCATAAAGAGTAATGGTTTAGATGGTGTTAGAATTCCAGTGGGCTGGTGGATGGCCTACGATCCTTTTCCCCCAAACCCATTTGTTGGTGGATCTTTAGCAGCTCTCGACAATGCTTTCAACTGGGCTGAGTAAGTAAAATGTTCTCAAGATTTGAGTATATTTATTTATTTAGTTATTTGTTGTTATCGTTTTTATATACATTTTAAGAATAGTAGTGTATTTATATTGAACATTAAAAAACTTAGAAAAAAAAATTGCAGTTTGTCATTTGTATTTCACATATTTGCAGCAAATATGGGATAAAGGTAATTATTGATCTACATGCTGCACCCGGTTCACAAAATGGCTGGGAGCACAGTGGCTCTAAAGATGGATCAATAGAATGGGGCCAAACAGATGACAATATTCGACAAACCGTCCACGTAATAGAATTTTTAACTGCTCGGTTAGTTATCTTTTTAACTGCTCGACATTTATCACCAATATAACAACCAATCAACCCAATTAATTCGTCTTCACATTTTTTATTATTATTTGAAAATTAGATATGCCAAGAGACCAAGTCTATACGCGGTGGAATTAATGAACGAGCCCCTCTCTCCTGGGGTGTCTTTACAAAACTTAACCAAATTCTACAAAGCTGGTTACAATGCTGTACGGAAGCACTCCCGTACGGCCTATGTGATAATGTGCAACAGATTGGGAGTAAACGAACCAAGAGAACTATTCAGTGTTGCAAAAAGAATGAATAGATCTGTCATTGACGTGCATTTCTATAACCTCTGGGGTAATTTTAGCCAACTCACCGTGGAACAGAACATTGAGTATATCTACAAGAACCGGACAGCAGAGTTGAAGCAGCTTCAAACCTCCAAAGGAAGTGGTCCTCAAATTTTTGTGGGTAAGCATATATCTATCCTACATCCATNTTATACATCTTTAACCATTGAATAGTTAAGTTGGGAAGGGTTAATTTTATTTTGGTCCAACTTCTCAAATTATTTAAAGAAAAAAAAAAGAGGCTAAATTGGCCAAATTTCAATTTGGTCCTAACACTTTGGCCAAAGTCCAAAAATCTACCCCGTCATTGTCCACTTTTCAAATTGGGTCTAATAATTTGACAATTTAATCAATTTCAGTTTTTTTTCGAGGGAGTGATTTGTTTAATGAATGTTATATTCAAGGCTTTCTTAAGTGGTAAGTTTGATGATGGTCCGATCTTTTCATAACAAAATGCAGATGGGTAATTTTTATGATTACATTCCTTTGGTTAATGCTAACCTATAGTAATTTTCAAAATTAAATTTTTGCTCCTATATATATATATATAAGGCTATAAATATCTACAGAGACACTTTTCTAAATGAAATATATGTGGTGACAAATGATTTTGAAAAATTGAACAGGAGAATGGGTAGCAGAGTTGGCAATTAACAATGCGACTGAGAGTGAGATTCGAAGATACGGTGAAGCTCAACTGCAAGTGTACGGAAATGAGACAACTTTTGGGTGGGCATATTGGACTCTGAAGAATGTCAATAAGCACTGGAGTTTGGAATGGATGATCAACAATGGATACATCAAGCTTTGAATTTCTTTCTCATTAATTAACGTCCACATTTTTCCTCTACTTGTTGGACGAGAAACTCAATAAAATTTCACGTATGTAGGCGCATTTTGTTAAGTTTATTATGTCCTCAGTTTTTCTTATTAATTAATAGTGTCTGTTATCGTCTTCTCGATTTTTTCTGCTATGTTTGTTTGGGGCTCTAATATGCAAATAATAGGAGAAAACTTCAAAAACTAACAAATACACTTTGGGTTGTGGCAAAAGTAATCACTAACATAATTAAATATAGAAAACAAGGGCTGAGCACGGGTCGGTTCGGTTCGGAGATCTCTGGAATCGAACCGAACTTCGGAGCAGATTTCAAAAACTGAATCTCCAAAACCGTACCGGTTCCAATAAATATCTGTTCCGAACCGAAATTTCGGTTCGGTTCAGTTCGGAGATTCGGTTCTAATGGGTCAGTTTGGTATAAATCGGAGATTTTTTTTTTAAAAAATTCTCCTAATTGCATGTTAGATGGTACATACCATGGGTGAAAGAAAATCATAAACCTCTTTTGACCGCGCGTCGCAACGCGGCAAAATTACAATTTATATTTTCCTTAACCGACTTCTACCAACTGTAGTAGTAGTGAGCAAGGGTCGAACCCACAGGGAGTGTGAATCAAATTGTGATATTCTTGTATTAATTGAAATTATGAAAAGCGATAAATGGGGGGATTTGATTATAAAATCTAATCTATCTAAGAATGAAATATAAATAAAAAAATAAAAATAAAATAAATTAAGAGAAAGCTTCTAGTTCACGGTTCCGTCTACACCCTCGACCGACTCGTCTAATCAACTTTGGTATCAAACCTCGCTATCTTATGCAATTACTAGCCTTAGGCAAGGACACAGTCAGTTACCCAAATTTTTCCTTATTTTTAATTTAACTGCGAGACGCTCTACGATTAAACCTGACTTCTTGTACAGTCCAGAAAAACGTTTTCAAGATTTAATACAATTAGCCGTTGTACGAATCAGAAAAATAGACTAGACTAAGTAGTGAACTCAACCGCGTTCGTCCACTTAAATAGGCTGTGTTATCCCCGGTAGTTACCGTCTTCCGGTTACCTCTTACGAATTAAACACAACAACAATTACGGATTGAAGGTCTAATTCAGATGTAGATATGAAAAACCTAATTTAGGTGATCAATCTAAATAAGACTCAACACATCATGGTTAATTATTCAAAATAACACAAACAATTCCAAAAAGATATTGAAATTATTAACCATATAATCAATCAAACATCGTCAAGTCATAGGGTTCGACATTCCCGGAATCAGAAATAAAAATCTACTCTAGCATACTAAATAATAATAAAAGATAAAAGAGAGAGATTAATTATCTCTCTCGTTTGCGGGTGCGGCCTCCCTCCGCTTCTGTCGGGCTTCCTCGTCTCCAAGTGCGTCTGCTTCTGTTTCCCGTGCGGCTTTCTTTTCTCTGTTTTTGTGTGCTCTCAGTTGCGTGAATAATTTATCTCCCAGGTATGCTTATATATTTTCTCCTAATGACACTCCCAGGGCCTGCGTATATATCTTTTCAAATTACAATAGGTCACTCAATTGAAATAAACACCAACTGGGCCCTTCTATATCTCCATTAATTATAAGCCCATCTCCTATTCCCCATGCAACCATTATATTCAAATATTGGGCTAGTAAAGTCTTCACTTGGGCTTAATTTTCGCACATGGCATAAATGGGCCAAAAGTTGGGTAGTATGGGGTACCAGCTCTGTCCTCAGCAGAGTATGGGACTCCCCCGTACTGTCTGCTTCAACCTTCCTTCGACGTCTCGTCGTCCATAAACACACTCAAATATCCTAAAAATAAACAATAAAAATATCAAAGCACCAGAATCCATCTAATAAATAAATAAGTCGAAAAACAATAAGTGCGATATAATTAAGCATATGGAAATACGCTAATAAATATATAAAATTCACACTTTTTCCGACCAATCATCTTTTAATTTCATAAAGATATTTCGTCAATTAATAGTAAGATTAGGTAGTTAAAATTCTTTTAATTTTTATTTTTTAAAAAAGTGATAATTATCTTTTAGTTGCAAAATATCATAATTTAATTTAAAAGATTTATATAACTTTTTTTATCGGTAAATGTATATTTATAGATCAAAACTGGAGTACAAACGACCGACAAACGGCATAAAAAAGCGCAGTGGGCAGCCACAAGCTCGGTTGTTCACTCAGGACTCAAAATAAGACAGAAAGACAACCACCAAATTTTCCAAGGAATGGACAAGCCTATACTCCAAGGGCTTTCCTCTCATATTCGGATACAACACAAAGTTTGTAGGATAAACATGAGTTTGGATCTTACGGATTACTAGGCTCGGTGTTAGGATTCATTTTCAAAAATCAACCTATTTCTCGCATTCCAAATGAAGAACACTGTAGCCGTGAGCGCCGCTTTCTTCAACTTGATTTGCGAACTAGCCCCTCGTGTCTCCTTCTTGGTCCATTTAAGAGTTTTTTGAGTGTCAAAGGTCAATGACGGAGGCTCCCAACCAAAATTTTGAGCTAAAGGAGCATTCGAAAAATAGATGACCCGATAATTCTACAACGTCTCCACAAAGAGAGCAAGTTGGGTACACCAAGGAACTCTAGCCTGTCCTTTGTACGGAGACGATTGAACACTCCAAACCAAAGAATGAAGGAGTGTTTGGGCGTATTGCAAGGGCCCCAAACTACTCCCGTCCATGGCACCAATGCACCACGAGGCCTTAAGAAATCATAGAAACTTCTCGACCCCTCTTTCTTCCAATGATGAAGTAGATCTTTCGCGGCTTTGCACACTTCCCGCTTTGTCAGCCAAGGCCCGTCGAATCTCGAAAGATGTTTGAAAAGGGGCGAGTCATCATTGTGTATAATTATGTCAAACTTAATCTATCATTATATTAAAAGATTAACCATTTAACACTTTTAGCAAGTTTTTCTCGCCAAATACATTTAATGTCTCCTAAAAATAGAGCAGCATTAAATGTTGTCCTTAAATCATGGCAGTTGTTAATTTAGTTTGGAGAAAATCGTGGCAACTAAAACAAACAACATTAATTACGGCTGATTTAATATTTAAATGGTAAACAAATATTACTTTTTTATAACTGATTTAAATTTACGTCTGTTTAAAAGTAAAAAACTTTGTAATTTCAACAAATTTGTACTGTTTAATGTAAGGCTGATTTAGAGTTAAGAATTTACTTTTGTATTTTCACAAAAAATCGTATAAAGAAGTATGGCAGGAATAATAATAAAAAATTAATTTGTTAAACCATATTTTGCACTCATAGATACGAATTCTCATCAAATTCAAAATTTAAAATTGTGAAGAATGTATATAGATGTGGACTGATTGAAGATATATGATTCCTTAAATTAGGAATTTTTTTCGATAAAAAAAAATATAAACTTTAAATATAGATTTTATTAGTAGTGTATACCAAAGAATATTATTACATTTTAAATTCCTATGAAGAAGAATTCTATTAATTTTCAAATTCAACATCTCATAAAAATAATATAATACACTTTTACATTCTATGAAACAATATTTAACATGCATAAAATGTAAAATTATCTAACATGAATCATTTTAACTTTCTAAAATCAGTACACAATTTGCTCGGTATGTACTAATAGTCTAATAGTTAAGGTTAATATTTGCTATGACATCTATTGGTTGGAAAGAATTCCATTTTGTATCGAATTCGAAATGAAAAAACATATTCTGAAAATCAAATCTGGTTTAGAGATCGATTTCTTAATGGCCTTAAATTATGCAAATATATTGTTTCAGTTTTTAAGATTCTTTTTTATGATCTCAGTCTTTGCATTATATGAAATCTATACTTATATAAAAAGTCATCCTATTTACTAGAAATAGTAGGCAGAAAAGTCAAAGGTAATTAATGCTTGCTGGAAATAGAATGATATTAATTACTCCCTCCATTTTGAAATATAAGGCGTATAAAGATTTCTCATTTTTTTTGAAATATAAGGCGCGCTCAAAAATCAAGACAAATTTTTGCATTTTTTTTCCAAATATACTCTTATTGTATTGAAATTAAGGAAGTGTGGAGTGGTTGTGATTAGAGTAAATAAGGTTAATTTAGTCAATTTATTCATTAATTAATGTCTCCTTAATATTTGTGCAATAACCTTAAATGCCTTATATTTCAAAATGGAGGAGTACAGATTTGTTTTGGTATTTATAGGCTTGACATTAAAGATTTGTTATGGGATAAAAATCAGAACCAATTTTTTACCTTTGCTGGAAAAGTCAAAGGTAAGTATAGATTTGTTTTATCCCATAGCATCGGTTTAGTTAAGAAAATCCCATCAAATCAGTTTTATATGTCAAGCCTATGAATGAAGATTTAATCGGTCAAAATTAAATCCTTATTTTACGTCACCCATAAATAAAGTAGATGTCAAGCCTAAATTGAAGGGTTTAGTTGTCTATATAGTCATTGATTTACGTAAATACATCTAATATTTAAAGTTTGTGTAGATTGAAAATTCCTTCTTATCTTTTTACAAAAAATCTTATTATTATTGTATGGAAAATCAAACTCATAATGTTGTGTACAAGGTGGTCTTTAATAATATATGATTTTTTGTTTGTCGAATACTATCTTATTGTATAATTTTCCTGCGTATTATAAAACTTTTATTGAATATTGCATCTTATAATATAGTATTTCTCAAATAAATATATCCCGTGCCTCGCACGGGTCACGTACTATATATATCCCGTACATTTTTCTGTATTCATGTATATAATTATAAGTCTAGATAAATAGCCTTAAAATTGTGCACCCCGTGCATCGCACGGGCTCTGTACTAGTTATATGGGTCGCATGAGATCATATGGTCCAATACGTAATTAGACCTAATCCAATAACAATATAATTTATATGGGCCGTATGATATCATATGGTCCAATACGTAATTGGACCTAATACAATAACAATTTAATTAAGTGTGAATCCAATTTAAATATTATAAATACTTTTTATCAAATAGGTAATCTCATTACTCATAAATGAATATTTCAAGCTAATTAAATATTTAACACTCTTGATTCACTCTTAGTCGGAAAACTGATTGCATATTGTGTGACCCTATAGGCCTTCA